CAATTCGAAAATTATTTGAAAATACACATCTGTACGGCACTGGAAACTGGTCCACTGTAAAATCTGACCTTACATAAGATTAAAAAAACAGATAAAAACTTTCGCAAGGAAAGAAATAAGTAGAATTTTCAAACACCTATTTTATATCAGCAATTCAACTGCTTTTGCCGCTATTGTTGTTATTAATTAATGAAATTAATTTGTGGTTTTACTTAATAAAATAATTTGGCATACCTGATGTTACAACAACTGTTCAAATGTTTGTCCACCGACGTGTAAACACATTTGGGCCCGTCTTACACAGTTTCTACGAACTATCACAAATGTTGTCTTGCTTCACCATAACACAATTGTTGTCTTGCTTCACCATAAATTAAAACGATATCCATCAGCACCGAGTTGTTATACACGTAAGCCATTTTTGACACTAACTACTAAAAAACTATGGTAAATACTATCGCAATGACGTTAACACTAATTGTAAAATCGGATTTGAGTATTCGAAGTCGCTGGGGCCACGTAGCTCTCCACACGCATTGCGTAAAGCGTACAACGCGAATGACTAAGAGATTACAATTGTCCAACCATGTAATGGTGGAAAGTACTACAACTTTAATGATTTTACTAACATTTTTTACGATATTGACTCCATTTTACATGCCACGTATATTCCCAATTTTTTTTGAATAAATTGTGAACCACCCTGTATAATCAGTTAAGAGTCGTTAATTGGGTAGATATTTTGTTCATATCTATCTTTTTCTAGATTTTTATAAAAAAATTTGAATTTACTTGAATTAATTTAAATAAAGTCAAAATAAATTATGTAGTATTAATACATAAATGAGACTATACATTTTTTTCTTTAATTATAAAACTTTTCCGAGCGGAAATAGGATACATTTTTTAGGTGAATATTTTTTTCTCTCTGAAAAAATTGCTCTATTTTAGCTGAATACGAAACCTTACTTTTTTCAAATGATATTTAGTTATCAAATACTTACCTTCAATATCTAAATACCTACATCTTACAATTTTTACAGAGCGAATAGTGTGTAAATAATATATCATAAAGAATGTTTCCTTTATATTTGGTATATTTGTTTGAAACAGCTGCTACAAAAACCATTACACACAAATCATACATAAATTATGACGTGTCTACACATGTCCAACATAGTTTTTATAGTAATTATAGAACTAGCGTTTAAATTTATCGCAATCATTAATATGAATTATTTAATACAAACAGATGCGGTTTCTTGGGAAGTAGATCTGTCGTCAGTTATTATAAGCAAATTAATACATTTAAGACCTAACTGGAAATTGAAACCGGGTGGATTTTATAATTTTAGCATCAAAGGGATGTTTGATGTGATCACTATATATAAAATTTGAATCAAGTTTTTTCAGTGGGTATAATTCATTATGTTATATGCTGAATTTTCTATACATAACATAAAAATTTTATTTAAAAAAGAAATAAAATATTTACCCGCTATTGGCAAAGCGTATTTTTTAAACTGCGAAAATTGTTATACAGGATGTGTGGAAGTGAATGGACAATGCAAGAACAACTCCCTTGAATGAAAATAAACAGACTTAAATCAACAACAGACGAAGATATAGAAACGAAGTTTTGTACGAACAGTTGACGAATACAATGGATGTGAAAAAATTAAGTCTTAACTCAAATCAGTAATCTAGATATGAGGTGCGTTGATTACATTTAACTCAAATTTATGGCACCCCACTAAAAAAAATTGTCCTTTTGGAAATTCATATTTAATTTGAACGGGAATAATTTAACCATTTTTAAACTCAATACGTTTAGTTAAATATACCTATGTATAATTATTTAAATATTTTTACTAAACATTTTCAATATGGTTCTCGGCGTTTCTATACCCTTTATGTTTGCATAAATATTTTTAATCCTTTAACTTCCTATATCTCAAAAAACTAGGGCTTCGAAGGCAAACATTTATTATTTTTGTGAACTGACTGAAAACCATAAATTTTAACTGTAGCAAATAATCACAAACAGTGTCTTACTAGTGCAAATATTTTTATTTCCTCATATAATATACCGATTCGTATCGTCCTATTTTGAAGTAGACCGTTATCAAAAGTTTCCAGAACAATTATTCATGAGGACTCGAAACTATTTTACGCATGGAACATTTTATTGAAGAGCATGACGTTGAGATAGGAAATTTGGGATTAGTTAAAATATGCAGTATTAAATAAAGTGTTGAATAAAAGTAAATACTAACTTAAAATCAGAAAAAAATGCTTTACTCAAGTAAAAAACTAGCGTTATGTAAAAAGCGAAAAATTAATATCAATTAATATTCGTTTAAGTTTTTTTTTAAGTTATAGTAATCAATTGAATAGGTAGTTTCAGTCATATGGTTGAGTCATCTACTAAGAATTTTATTTTGGGTACATGTTACTTTCTGATAGTTTCTTTCAAACTATTAAAATACACTGTGGTAGATAATAATATTTTCCTTGTAAAGATATTTATTTATCAAATATTTCTAAATTCATCTTACAGCTTTTCGGCTGTTTATACACTATAAGGCACTGGGACAACTTATAAATAATTTCACTAAACATACCATATACAGAATAGTATTACACTGATGTCCATATTCTAAAAAATACTATCTCAAAATTCCATTCGTATATTTGAACGGATTATTCGTCAAATAAAAATTATTTGAATGCAAATTTCTAAATGCATTCCAGCTTGCTATTCAATGCAGGGTTTTCATTATACAAAGTGATTCAGTCATAATGTCATCAATTTTAAGGGAAGATAGGGGAAAATGAGTAGAATACGAATACGCGATTGAAAAAAATTTAAAATACGCAAAAAAATATTTTCGAATAATTATTTAAATCCATTTTCGGACAGCACTTGACACACAAAGGTTTATCAAGAATAAATCTTGACCTACCATAATATGCGGCCATTAACCTAGCTTTTAATGCGTTTTTAATCCATAGTGAACGACGACGAATAAACAGAGCTTTTTAACTTTTTACATTTTAAATATTAAGAAGTATTATTTATTTGCTAATAAAAACAATTGTATAAGGATAATAATTGTTTTCGAATGTAGAATTTTATTTTTAGTATTGTTAAATACTCACTTCGTTTTATCATTTAATATGACCTCCAAATTATTCTATCACTTTAGGATTCTGAGATTTCCTAACCTAAAACTAAAGTGCTAAACCCCCTGTTGAAGCACTCCGGTTAACCTGTTTGGGTTTAGCGTTTGCAAGTTATTATTCTTGGGTTAACCTGTCTGGGATTTAGCGTTTGCAGGTTATTTTGCACTTGGGTTAACATGTCTGGGGGTTAACCTGTTTGGGGTTTATGTAGCACTCGCAGGTTATTGTGCACTTGGGTAAACTTGTGTGGGGTTTAGCGCTTGCAGGTTATTGTGTACTTAGGTTAACCTGTCGTGGGCAGGTAGTGGTTATTGTGGTAGTGATTATTGTTCCCTTTGTGGGTGTAGTGCTTGCAGATTACGTGCTTCTATGTTAAATGGCTCCGTGTTACAGTTATAGAGGTTAATACCGATAGTTCAGCCTAAAATCGTTGATTTTGCAGTTTTAGGTTAGGAAATCTCAAAATCCTAAAGTGATAGAATAATTTGAAAGTCAGATTCGGATTGGATGACTCAAAAAATATGTAAAAATATTACTTCCGCTTTCTGAAGAACTTTTTTCAATTTTAGTACCACTGTTATGAAAACGCTAAAGTACCTAACTTCATTCAATGATATCTTCGCGAATAAAAAGATTTTTCAAATCTGAAAAAAGCGTTTTGAATTGTAAGTAGTAGTTTTATAGGGCGTGATTCGCTTTTAGAAAAAAAATTTCACTCCGTGATATAAGCCCAAATATAGCAAAACAAACTGTTTTCTGTAGTTTTAGATTAGGATATCTCGGAAACGTGACGTATAGGAGCAATTCTGACGCCGGATTTGGATTCTGCGCAGCAAAAACCTTTGGGCAAGTGAGGTCTGGTTTTTGGGTGTGATCTTTCGTCGAATTTTGTTGCCTTGTGAATTAACAGACTTCAGTTTCACACCGGATAACTATAGGCATTTCATTTGAGTGGAATTGCTAACTTCCTCATTATTGAAGCATTTAAGTATATCAGCTAAAAAGCTGGTAACAGTTTTAAAATAATAATTAACATAAAAATACTAATTATTTATCGTGTAACAATAACTCTAAATGAAATATTTTTTTATAATCTACTATTGTAAAATAGATGATAGGCTAAAATATAAAAAATCTTAATTCCGCAGAATAGGATATTATTATGTAATTTGGTGATTGGTAGCGGTGTCCCAAGTAGCACATCAATATTGATCCAATATTGATCCAATATAGTATATATATTGGGCCAAACTAGTTTCCACATTTTGGGCCAATAAAAAAATGTGGACTTTTCGGAATATTGACCCAAGATTGTTTTCAAATGTTGGACCAAGAAGTCATAAAAATATTGCCCCAACTAAAAATAGAATATTAGGCCAACATTGACACTCGTCATTATACCAGCATTTCAAATATTTAATCTTTAAAAATTTGTACCTCAAGGAGTGTATTCGGTTTCAATGTCTGTTAATTTAAACGGACTGTTAAAATATTTATCCAATCAGATTCTTTATATATTCAGAAATCATCATCCCTTATTGGATAAACATTTGAACAGTCTGTTTTATAAATTAACGAAAATTGAAACATAATACACACCAAGTGATTCAAATAAAGATACAAATATTGCACTTTTACTTTAATCTGTTTTCTTTTTCGGTGAGTTCTAATAGTCTTAGAAGTCAGAAGGCAGTGTGTCGAAAAAATTTTCATATTAAACTAAATAATAGTGAAAATCCAAACATACTTTTAATTTTTCTAAGAAAATGCGTTACTTACTTTAGAGCCACTGTTTGCCTTGCTCTTAATTTTGATATTATTGCAGGATAAAAATAAAACAAAATATATGAGGTTTACTAAACTGTATTAAAATCTACAATATTTCTTATATATTCAATATTTCTTATACTTCAGGCACACCTTGGTTTGGTTTTTCAGCTAAAATAAAAATGACTACGTGACACACATATATTACCTATAACATTTACAAAGGCAGTTACAAACCTCTAAGTTGTCTTCCACCATCTCGGTCTCCAGCTGTTGCCAAGGAAACGCCAATATAACGTGTAATCTCCAAGTCCGTGGCGTCCAAAAAAGTTGACTAACAGCTTCTAAAAACAGACAAGGTAATTTATTAATATAGCGGTCTAACAGCGAGTTAACATTCGTTGTTGTTACTAAAATTACTTATAGCACCATTAGGTTAACATACCTAAGACAGCATTATACACAGACAGCTTGGAAAAATCTTTTTTCTGTTTTTTTCCTTTTGCTGAGTAATGCAAGCTTAGCTCTCCGTCCATCAGTTTCTTCATGATAAAATGAACGTTCTTCTTTATGGTATCTCCACCTACATGTGAGAGGACGTTTATCTACAATGATAATAGAAAATATGTAAAGTGATAAATGGTGAATAAAGTAATTTACCAAATCTTGTAGGTCGGCAGCATTTTCAATTTTGTTTTCTAATTCTTGTAATTGCTCTGATGTTGTCAGCGGCAAGTTAAAGTTTGAAGACAATTTCAAGGACTTTTTTTCACTTAACATAGTATGCATTATTTTAATATCATTAATGTCTTTTTATTTCTGCAATATCATATTTGCTAGTGGTTTGGTGATCTTTATATCCACCATAATTAAATCAGCATCAGCATCTAAAACGTTTACACCAATAAAATATAAATAACTAATCATGTTTATGAAGCATTGAAAAGAATTTTCATATATTACCTTCATTAGAATTTCTACTAGCAGAAGAAGGTGTCTTCGTAGAGCCATTTATTAAAGATCTGCTTACTGCTGGCTTGGTAAAACTAGTTAAATTTCTTTGTGAAGATGAACCTAAAAAACAAAAGTATATTTAAATTTTTTTAAATAATATCTTGAATTAGATAGGTACCCTTAAATTCAGATGGAGTACAGACTCGGCTTGTGGAATAGTTGCCATTCCTTCCTGTTTTATTCTTTAACTTACATCGTACTGACTCAAGATTATCATCAGACGACAATAATTCATCCCCTTCATCGTCCACATCATCCTCTACTAGTCCCTCAACAGTCTCAGCTGTTGATGATAAATTAGATGTATATTCCGCCTTTTCTGCCAAATTTTGAGCATGTTTTAGGTTATATACGGTAGCCTTGCAAATACCAGCCCATTCTTCATAATCAATATTTAGACTTGGTTCTGAACAATTGTCCCTTAACTTCTTGATTTGAGTTTCAGACAATTTCTTGGGCCATAAGTAAAAATCTTTTTTTGTATCAACTGCCCATGAAGTTGGAACATATTCAGAAGTATTGTCTCTTAAGAAGAAAACTATATCCCAGCTTGCCATAATGACGACTCTGAAAGACACGATTGTGGAAGATATAAATTACATACATATTTCATATATACCATATTTCATACCATATTAACATATTTCTCGTTTTTATAGTGTCTGTAAATCACAAACTGTAAATTTTTCAAAAATATCATTGTTTGTTTCAGGTTATAGATAAATATTTTTAATAGGATTTTGTAAACATCGAGGAAGAAATCCAAATGATGTATTATCGTTGACTACTTAATTAATAAATGGAAAGTATTAAGTTGTTTTACTATCTATAGATATTAGTGTAATACTAATTAGTCAACGATAATAAGTCATATGCATTTCTTCCTGATGTTTGCAAAATCCTATAAAAAATATTTTTCCATAAACTGTAACTAAAGAAACAAACTCTTTAATTTAAGATTCTAATGAACTTTATTAATCATGTAAAAAATAACAATACAATATTTAATAATTTACATGTAACATCCCCACAGCACCCATATTGTTAGAGTCGGCAAGAGGAAAAACAATACACTTTGTAATGATGTCATTAAGGGTAGCAGAAAATTGAAAGTTGCTTAAATTCCTAACTTGGTACATGTATATATCTGAGGATAATAACGTGGAAAGTGTAAATATATTTTCAGTGACTTGGAATACTGGGCCATACAGTAAAATGTTATTTTTATCATCTTTGGCAATTTTGTTCACCGACATTATTTTTTTGCTCGAGAGTAAAATATATGATTCCTTCTTAGGTTTAGTTGCAATATACACGTTTTTATAGTTGATGGCTTTAATAATATCTCCAAGTTTTTCATAAACAACGGAAAATTCTCTACTGTTATAATTTTTTAACAATTTTGTACTGTTATTTTTTTCTGTAAGTCGTTTGCACACTTGTGAAAGTGGTTTGTTAGGTGTACGGATCATTTTCTTTAAACGACCTAAGTAATTTTCAAACATAAAACAATTTACATCCTCCGGGTTCTCATTTCGTTCAACAGCATCCTGAACTAAATGTCTGATACTGTGAGTATTAAATATCGGTTCCATATCTTGGTCATATACATTACAAATTTCTTTACAGAATTTGTCAATAGAAGTTACCGCTATATTACCTAAGGGTCTAGAAAAATCTCTGGAACATATAATTCTCATTGCACATACAAAATGAAGAAAGTGTTTGTACCTTTTCGGTGACAAAATATCTTTCAATATATATACTCCTATATATAATAAAACAAAGCGGAATTCTGTTGCTTTCCAACGATCCAGTTCAGAAAATGATCTCGGACGCCTACCAAATTCTCTAGGTGTATGCGAAGCAATTTGTATTATTCGTACGGAAGCTTCTCGTCGAAAAGCTGGTGTAATTCTAAACTGTGAGTCCGATTTGAACCAAAAATTTAAAAGGCGTCGCATTACACCTAAACATGCCATATGCATGTAATCTAGCGGGAAGCCAAACACCATATCAAAATTTTTTAATCTGGTTAAGGGAGTTGCACCTACATGGTGTCCAGCATGTGTTTTGTTTATAAAGGTTAGGTGAGATCTCTTTTCATCTCTCTCCGAAATTTTGTAAATGAAACGTCCATTAATTTTTGTCCCTTTAGCATTACACCTTTCACAAGCAAAATAACCATTATGACTTTTAATGCTTTTTAAAAAGGCTCGAGCTGGTGCATCACATATTAAATATTTAAGGCCAAATGTGTATGATTGAGAACCGGGACCTGTCACGCCAATTACTGAAAGATGTTCAATTTCTGCTATAAAGTCCTTAAGAAAGCTTTCTAAGAATTTTGGTTTACTATCGCCCATATAAATTGCAACCACAAAAGGATCAGAGTTAAAATTTGGCATATGCACGGCAGCAAGAATGGGCCAAAAATCAATGTTGGTACTTTTATGTATTTTCAACCCATCAATGTTACATTTTAACTTAATTGAAGTAATATTTCGTTCTTTAAGAATAGTGTTCAAGTTTCCATTAAATAATTGTTGTTCTAAATTTTGCTGTATACCGAAATAAATATATTCTCCATTTGTACCATTTTGTGATTGCATTGGGGTAATATTCAATGAACGTTCTGTTCCCAAAATGGTTCGACTATCTAAAGGTAAATCAGGATGGTGTGGTTTCAAAATTCTAAGCAAACTGTTTAATTGGGTATGATTTACATTTACAGTGAGTGCCCAGCATTTTAGATCATCTTTTATTGATAGAAAATTAGGTTTAAAAGCAGTAGAGAGATTTTCTTCCACACAATTTTGATTCAGATTATGTAACATATTCGATTTGCAATTATAATCTAATTCTAAAGTTTCAGTATTGCTCGTTTTAGAGTTTTCAGAATTAAAACTAAGAGCACTATCACTAAAGGCATCATCAATATTTAGTGCATTCACATCGCTGTTAGCAGGTGTGTGATTTGATAAAGGTAAACTGCAATCAGCACTTTCACTATCTAATTCCTCATCTTTATTTTCAAGAAATCTTTTAACATACATATACTTTCTGGACTTTTTTGACATAGTTCCTAAAAATTAAAAGTTCTGGTTTATTTAAATGACATTTACGTACAACATGCACCAGCTTCTATCGATCGATAATATTGAAAGGTTTACTCGACTATCTAATATCTTGCCATATAAACTATTGCCATGTTACCAAGAACAAAAAAATAATTACTTACTTTGATTGTTTAGACACCCTGTATATTTAAACAACTTGAAGGCCTCGTATTGATAAGTAATAGGTATAATAAAAATATCGTTTAATAGCCACTTCTTCCAGTTCTTCAGTCTACCTACAAAAATTTCACGATACTTAATGCACTTTATACTTACCCAACACACAGCACAAAATATACCATTTCTTCTACTAGGTACCCACTTTTAATTTAATAGCTGAATAACCAATCGAGTAGCATTATTTGTTATAATTTACTTAATGTAAAATGCAAAATCATTTATACAAAGCCGTTTATATGCTTAGGTTATGAAAATGCCGGTACAGCAGTACAGCACGTTACATCCAACTGCTGACGCCGCGTTGCCAGACTGCAATTTCAGATCTAGAAATTACAACTGATTTGACTATTTTTATTTGATTTAACAAAAAATAAGGTTTATCCAGTTTTTAGTGATTTAGGAGTATTGATGTGTTTATTTAAAATAGTTTACAACAATAAAATTTGCTATAACTATTTTACGTGAGATTTGCTCCTCAAACTTAAACCATCATTATCTGCAACTACAATATTTTACGTATGAGTTGGCAACAGCACACAAGATCTACAAGGAACTCGCGACCGCACGGCCGCAGAGAGTCGCCACTTGAATAATTATTGTAGCGCCTTTATTTGAATATTTTCATATTTTAAAGTAAATGTTACACTCCTCGTATCGTATTTGGAAAAGTATAATAAAGAATAATAATTAGCCTCTGAAGAGCCTCATATAAAGAGCTTGTGATGAGGGAGGAATCATTATACTAAGACGACTTAGTATCATGGGAAGGAATATACGAGTATGGCTATTATTTATTATTATTTCCCATGGCATATGGCATTCTAGGGTTCACTCACAGACCACCAACACAACACAGTTCACTCTGGTAATGCATTTGCTTTACAGTCCCTAGAAAATAGGTGTATATTACTTAGATAATTTATAATAAAATGATGTTATCTTTTTTATTGTAATAGAGATGCATTCCTAGATTGACCCAATATTTGTTGGAAATATGGGCCCAATAGTGAATAACCAGTGTGAATGCCAATATTATAACCGCAATATAAATAATGTATAGGGCCAATCTTGTAATAAAATATTGTAAATAGTAATAATGGGCCAACATTGATAAATAACAATAATGGCTAAAACTAGCTGACCGATATTGGTACAATATTTCTCACCAACATTACATTTATAAAACAAAGAACAATATTAAGCCAATATTGACACAATATTGTTTTATCAATAGAAATGATTCGATATTGTGCCAATATAAAAACAATGAACAGCCAATATATTGTGCTACTTGGGGTATTTATTATTTTGATATTTATTTATTTATTTTTATCATATTATAATTATTATTGGTGATTAATTTTGTTTCTGGTGTGTAAATTTTGTGTGTGTATAAGAATTAATTATCCGTTTGGGCGCCTTTTTTTATGTTAAATGTCATTTGGGTGTATTTATATCTAATTTTCCATTGAGTGTAGGTTCTGATAAGAAATTTTAATAATAACAATGACAAACATAGACGAACTAGACTTTCTTACTTTATCATTGCTAACATCGCCTCCGGCAGCTTTACTTTGTATAAATAATGTTCACAGTGTAGACAGGATTTTATTAGTGTAGATAGGAATGTTCATTTTCTACACTGTCCCTCAAGAAAAAACACTTTATTTTATCAATAGCATGAGTCCTTACCTCATAGGGGCGGTTATATGCTCTTTTAATTAACCTTTACTATTTAATTTTGGGTAAGAAACATTAAATAAAAGCAAAATTGGAAATATTTACACAAGATGACATTTATTACTTATTTATCTTTCAATTTCGAACAATATTTTTATGAACACAGAAACTAGAATTTTTTTTATATACTTTTACATGAATAATTGTCTGAGAAATGCCTTATTCTACCTATCATAATTGAGAAAATGTTTGGCTAACCAATTATCATTATTTTAAACGTTTTTCAAACAAATTAACTTATACTACGAACATTTGAAATTAAACTAATACTTAAATTATAGAATGTTCAAAAATGTCAATTTAAACTTTAATCACTGACATTGTTTATAGTTTGTAACGGGTTTTGTATTTCACAAATAGCTTTTATAGTTCGAATTTGCAACACTTTATGGCATGGAGAAAACTCTTATGCAACTGGACTTACTTGGTTTCGTTCTGCCTGGCAATTTGCGGTCGTCTCTATAACCTCACTTTATTGTTGTCGTTTTCTGCTATTCTCGTGCGTTGAAGATGGCTGTTGGGTCTGTGTAGAGTGCTTCCTGGTGTTTTTGATGTTGTTTGGGGAGCCACAGGACAACATGCCCCTCTCACCAGTCTCTAGAATCTCCTCTCGCCACTCTCTCAGCTTGTTGACTTCTCCCGATGTTTTTTTGTTTTTTCCGGTACCAGGTAAATTCACTGATTTGGCCTATTGCCATTGGTTGCTCGTATCCCTGTTATCATTTTCTAACTGCGCAATTTCTGCAGCATATTGCGATTAATTTGATTTTAATTAACTTACGGCGTAATTTATAGTTTATAACTGCGTAGTAGATTTTATACATCTTAAAACTAATTTACAAAAAATTTTATATAATATTTTGCATGACAAATTTTTTATAAAAAACTTCTAGCCTATGTGTTTCTGATGTTATAATATTTGAACTTTCTTTTGTACTAGATTATTTAACATTAATTTACTCATAAAATCTCTAAATTGGCCCTTCTTGTGTCATTTTCTTTTACTTTAATGCTTCTACTTCGTACCCAAAATTTATTTTCTTGACATGCTTATCATTATTTAAAATTTTGACTGATAATGATTTAGTTTATATATAAAATAACTATGAAATGAGCTTTTTATTTTACTTTAAAAGTATTTTATGTCTTTATTTTATTCTACATTATATCTCTATGCTATGCTATTTCTCGGTGTTGTGTCTTGAGATACAGTGTGTTCATTTCAATATATTGAAAATAAGTGTCATACAGGGCGTCCCAAAAAAACACGAACTTTTAACTTTTGAGGATTAAGTCCTATCAAAAAAGTTTCAAAAAATGGTTGTAGGATATGAAGAATCCAATACGTGACGTATTTGACCTTAACTAAACATTTTCAAGGTTAAAATTGAAAATTGAAAATTGAAAATACTAAATACTCCATTTTTATATCACCATTCGATAAATCATTCAAATTTTACGTCAGACTATAGGGTAGGCCTTTGCAGGTCATTTAAAGGTCAAATTTATTCTTTTTTGAATAACTCGACGAGATCGCTACTACCGATAACCGATACAGCACCAAATTTTATGTCGGAATCTGAGACCAAAGAGTTTTTCCACAATGTCCTTGAGATTATTTGAATGTCAAATATATTTTTGATAAAAAATAATGGATATAAAAGTAATAGAATTTTATAACCGTATTCAACTGAAACGATTGGTATAATCTTGACAACTATTTTGAAATTTAACACATTGTTAGGATAATAATTAAAATTTGCCGTTCTCGAGGCTGATATACAGAGTGATTCACAACTTATCCAAAAAAATTTGGGAATAGATGCGGCATGAGAACTGCAGTCAATATCGTACGAAAAAATTTTGTAAAATCCTTATAGTTTCCGAGAAAAAAATTATTGAAGTTATAGTACTTTCAACCAATACATAGCTGTACAACTGTAATCTCTAGCATCATTCGCAATACGCGTGGAGAGGCACGTGGCCTCAGCGACTCCGAATACTGAAATCCGACTGTTTACAATAGTTTTTTTGTAGTTAGTGTCAAAAATGGCTTGCGTGTACTGCAACTAGGAGTTGATGGATACCGTTTTAATTTATGGTGAAGCAAGACAATATTTGTATTATGGTGTAGCATTTGTGTTATGGTGAGGCAAGACAACATTTGTGTTAGTTCGTAGAAACTGAGTAAGACGGGCCCAAATGTGTTTTCACGTTGGTAGACACAATTTTGAACATTTGTAACATCAGGTATGTCAAATTATTTTGTTATATAAAACCACAAATTAATTTTATTAATTAATAATAATAGCGGCAAAAGCAGTTGAATTTGCTGAAATAAAATAGGTGCTATAAAATTCCATTTATTTCTTTCCTTGTGAACTTCTTTCAAGTTTTTATCCGCTTTTATCACATTTTGCCGCCATGTCGGTCTCATCATGCAAGGTCACGTTTTACAGTGGACCAGTTTCCAGTGCCATGTAGGTGTATTTTTAAATTATTTTTTCTTTACAAAATTGTGTTCGTAAAAGCCCCCTGTACATCCAAATTTTTTTTTTGGATAAGTTCTGAATCACCCTTTATAACCAGCTGTTAAGTCAAATTCCAGGTCACCATCTAATTTGTCATTCAAAATCCTACAAATTTTGCTTGAAACACTATTGTGGAGTTAGCTAAATAAAAAAGACTTCCAAACGACCTGCAAGGACATGCTGGAACTTTCTTTACCTCAAATTCGAACGTAAAATTTGGTGCTCTATCAATTGCCGGTATAAAAAAATATAAAGTTCCATTTAATATTCTCAAGTTGGCCTTGGTATAACTTTAAAACCTAGGGTCAAAATCAAATTCAAGGTCACTAGTATATTGTCTTCTTGATATTATACAATTTTTATCCGAAACTTTCTTTAATAAACCTAAATCCTGAATGGTTATGGGGGGGGGTCAAGTCTTTTTGGGACACTCTGTATAGATATCCGTTTGAATTAAGAGATAATACAATTTATCCCTACGAGTTATGAATGTACCTATTAATTGCAATATTGTTAAACCTTCGGAAAAGGCATTTAGATCAGATATTCATGTACAACCAGAATATCGAAATACTGAACATGTTATTCATTTTATGTTATGGATATTCGATGAATATCAAAAATAGAAATATACAAAAAACTGATATCTATAGAACATTATACTATATTGATAAGCAGTGTAAACTTTTTACAGATATCCCTTACACTTGTTTCTAACTGTTATAACATCACATTGTTCAAGACAATATAAGAGATGTCAAATTATTCGTTATGGGTAAAATGTTTTACAATACTATTCGCGTTTAAAAATACAGAAAACTAAAACCCGTCGCCTGAAGAGCAGTGCAAAGCTTTTCATATACGAGGTATGTTCATAAAATAACCGAACTCTTTGAATTACGCGCGAATTAAGATATTTAGTGATATGCGATTGACAGCATTGCGTTGCGCATAAAGGCAGGTTTACACGCTACAATAAATGCAAGCAATTTATCGTAACAATCGAATCGTTACGATTTATCGTTGGGTGTAAATAGGAAATTGTAGCGAATTATTGGAATGGGAGTTGGGTTGGATGGTTGATGCCAGCCGGGATCAATTTCTGAGAATCGTAACGACATGTTTGAACGTGTAAACAAGTAGCCGGCATTTCTCGCTACGATTTCACTCAGTTTGCATTTGCAATTCATCAGATATAGTCCGGTGATTGTTTTTGGCTGACCTTAACAACTCAACATAAGTCTTTTCGTCCATTCTCAAATAATTTCGCCAGTCATTCGGTTCATTTCTCAATTCTTTCATTAACTGCACATGAGAGAATTCTCTTCTCTTTAGTAACCACTCGCGGCTCCACTTTGATATCTGTTGTTAAGATTTTATTTTATTTGGTATATATCATTGATATAATAAGCGCTTTTAAATATATAAATAATATTTTCGGACACTGAGGGACATCTATGGGAGAGTGGAAAGGTATTTGTATTTACATTTTTAAAAAAGAGGAAGATAACACTATCGGTTGCCGAAAAACGTCGCTTCGCGTAGAGTAAAGAGCGTTTCTCGTAGAGTTTTTGTTCGAGTTTTGTAAAATGGCTAGCTGTCGTGGGTGTCGGCAAAATAATTACTATTGCTAATTATTATACGTGATTTGCACGGATTAAAACCACGATTCGCAATAAAAGGCATCGCTGTTTAGTTTCAGTAAGTTTTAGTTGAAGAGCGTGCCAGATTTTCTTTTAAATTGAGCCATATTTGTCTGTTACGTCTCTATTGTTAGGGAATTCGGCATTGGAGGTAAGCGTGCACAAAATTTCTATAAAAATATAATTCAAGTCCTAACTCATTACAGAACAACGTTATTTATTTGTTTTTATCTACACTTTTAGACGTTTTACCTGGGAGGTAGTAGTTTTTATCCTACGATAATTTTTTTTGGAGGAATCCCCCAGCGAGTTCTATAAGCCAGAGTTTTGTACGCCAGAGTTTTGTCATCGGTCGGAAAAGAAACCGCTGCAGATT